AAAATAACAGTTATTAGATTTAATATTATTAATAAGCTTTTTAATTTATTTTATAAAATATAATGTATCAGAAGTGATGATACCACCTATACAATGAAATGCATACTATTAACATTACTTAAAAGTATAGTTTGAAAAAAATAACAAAATTCAATTAAAAAATTAGAACCTTCACTATGAAATGTTAGAAAAAAAATTAAATTTTAAATACCTAAAAAACCCTTATAACAGATTAAAAAGTATGCTTTTTTAACCTATTTTATATTATTTTTTAAGTTCAAATAATTAATACTGCGATAGGAGTTTGATTTTAAAGATTTATTACTTTCGTATAGTGCCAGGTTATGTCGATCATGTAGTCGAATTGCGAATCAGATTTCAAGATCAGGTGTAACGTAACACGGGCATGAAATTTCAAAACAACCGTTCGTTAGGGCACTAATAAAAAGTTTTTCTTAGATTATTTTACTATATAACTATATAGCCCTTTAACTTTATTCAAAATGCTAACCCTAATGTTAATAAACTTCAGAAAATTTGCCTGCGCACATGATCGACATAACCTGGCACAGAAAACCGATGTGCTTAATTAGGGGTCTTTACATATCTTTGTCACAATTAGTCGATCAAACACCCTAGTGCTTCGTATATACAAAAAATCATATGTATATACATTGTAACGGTAAAAAAAACTTTAAATCTAATCGAACTTATCACATTCGTAACACGATCTTATGTGATAAATTTGGATAATATCTAATTCCAATTTTTTTCTCATTTCATGCGCATGATGCGCATTTCATGTGCATGGGAATTATTCGGAATCTTTATGAGTTTTCGGAATATTCCGGAACCTATTGAAAATTTCCGGCTCATATTATCTGCCAGCATTATATTGCTTCGCCGGCATTATAAAAATCATGCGCATGATTCTATAATTTCATGCGCATTGCCCATCACTAATAAGATCTGATATAAATGGATGGATATCCGGATACATTATATCGGATAAATGGATGGCGGATTTATCCGGATTGGAACTCTACCGTGTTATTCATAATACTCCTATAAAAGTTTTCGAAAACGTATCCTGACTTTCTCCAGATTATCGTTACATTATCGTTCCGGAAACGGCACATTTTTCAGAACAAAACATATATAAATTCCTGTTCATTTCCATAGAATCACAGTAATTTTTGATAAAAATCAAATCTGGGAAATATTCGGCTTCTAATATTTTGTGCTTCATTAGAAGCCGAATCTTATTTTGATTTGATTTTTACCCGAAATTTATCAGGATACTATGAAAATGACAAAGAATTAATATGTCTTGTTCCAAAAGATGAGCATTTTTTTGGAACAATAATGGAATAGTCTTGAGAAAGTCGGGATAGTTTTTCGATATTTTTTTATAGGGGATCAATATCAGTGACAATGTTTTAAGACATAAACATTTTAAAGCAATATAAAATTGATTTAAAATTTTATGTTTTAAATCATCTGTCATTCCTATCAACAGCGATGCGAAGGCAAAACAATTTATCCAAAATTACGGAAGAGCACATGCCCTTTTTCATACAATATAACTAAAATTGTTACTATAATTATTGCTCATGCATTATTATGAAACGCGCAATACTTTATCCAAAATTACGGAAGAGCACATGCCCTTTTTCATACAATATAACTAAAATTGTTACTATAATTATTGCTCATGCATTATTATGAAACGCGCAATACTTTATCCAATGTCTGCTTAACTTTTTCTAGAGCCATGATCAAAAATTAATAAAAAAAGAAGATCGAACTTTATGTTAACCAAATCAATGCTGAAAAGATCAAATTGTTGCAATAAATAAAAACAAGTATGAGAATTCGATTGATGTATTTATATCGAATATATGCCCACCGAGTCTTAGTTCTACACGCGTAAAACTCTGTTAGACTGGGCGATTTGTGTGTCCATCGATCTGGCTGTGTACTAGACGTTGCATAATGATACACAACGGTTAATAGAGGCAGGTAAGATTCGGCAAAATCTAAGACCAAAGTTGAATAAGTTACAGCAGTGAAATGCAGGAATGCTTTAATGAATGATTGATAAGTTTGGCTTTTTTACTTAGAGATTTTATCAAGAGAATTAATATGTGGTAGGTGTATGCACTAAAAGAGGAAAAACTTCACCTTTATTTATAATAAAATTACCAGCTAAGAAAAGAACAAAATCGAAGTTTTTATTCTTCTTTTTTCGTTCTACTATTATTGAATTCATATCGGTATTCTTTATTTGAACTAATCTCTTTACTTCTTCACACATAGCCTTCACAGTTTTAGCATTTTACAGCAGGAAAAGAAGATAAGTTCAAGAATGTTCGCGCCCTTATCATCGCACTACCCATTGACTCAATCATATACATTACCACGGCCACACTCCTAGTTTATCAAGGTAATATTCCCTTGACAGCTGTCAACTCAATTTGGCAAGGGCTTGGCCTTTATTGTTACACTAAGGTTGCATGCATGCTGCAAGGGGATCGTCACCCATTCGTGTGTCATGGGGCATCGTTACACGACAGTCTTTACGTAACGATTCGTAGTTCGATCGTGCATCGTTCCACAAAAGTCTTAGGTCTTGAGACCTTTGGTTTTGCTTGTGACAACAGACTTGACCCGAATTAATTCGAGTTAAGACTATGTTTTTTTTAAGCTACGAGCTGACTCGCTTCTAGTCTCTACTGTGCACCTATAAGGTTACGTATAAGTACATAAGGTAAGTATTTGTTATGTATATGTATATGTAGAAATAAAAACTTGACGGATAATATTAAAGCCGAATCAAATAGCGTAGCCCATCAAAGTAATCCTTTTTATTCAAGAGAAATAATAAAAAATTCATGTTTCTGGAATTTTCATTTTAGCAACTAAGCTTTAAATTTGACATTAAATTTCTAGGACCTTTAATATAAACTTGACAGCCAATTAATTACTAATATTTTTGACCTTTTATTACAATTATGTGTAAATTGTATAGAATACATAGTTTTAATAAATTTAATCAAATTACATTAGTGACAAGTTCCTCTAAGAAATAATGAATTAAATGTTAAATTATGGCTAAAATATATTGCTATTTAATATGTCAGTTTTAATTAGTGCATATAAAAGAAATAAAGTATACAGTATAAGATTAAAGTTATTTAAAATGTTTTTTTAAAAAAATGCATCTTGCATTGAAATTTTCAAAAAATTAGCTTTAGAGTTTTTAACTACATACTTTTAAAGCAACTTTGAAAAAATGATTATTATTTAGCATATAAAAAAGTACTAGCTCAAAGGGAAGTGTACTTATGTATAGCCTTATTTACGTGAAAGAAGACCCTAAAATCATCTGTTTTAGAAATTGATCCCTCGGTGATAGAATTTCCGAGTTTGGTGTTTTTTGTGGTTTTGTGATTGGACCGCCTTGAATGAGTTCGGTATATTGTTGAGTAGCTAATGAAGTATTTGTGAATAAATTCGCGGTATTCTGAGGTCTTCTTCCAGTATTTAATGCCCTTTGAAGTAGACCACTAGCGTTTAGTTGTATAAAAAAATTATTGGGTCTTTGTAGCTGAACATCATTATTTTGTGATTGAGTGCAAACAGTTTGATATGTATTTTGACACATATTTGTAATAATTTTTTAGAAGCCGAGATAAAAGACTATTTTTTATAGATTTTTTGGAGTTTATACAAAAATTAGTGTTTAATAGTATTACTAGTTTCAATTTATATGTATATTGAAGAGTACTCGGCAAAACCCGAATAATTTAAGTTATTATGTTGTGCTTAAAATTATCATCTGCTTAAAGTTAAACTTTGGCCTTTAATGTATTAGTCAGTTCGATAATTACACATTTTATTGATAAACAAAGAAAAATTCTGCGCATAATCAAACAAATCTAAATTTACACCATCTTACAGAATAATTATAACAAGCGAAGATGAGGAAAACGCGTTACAAGATTACAAAACTTTATTCCAAATTCTCATGATGTAGTTTTGCAAAAATTTACGTAGAAGTTTCATGGAAATTAGAATATGAGGCACAGAAAGTTGGATATCTGCATATCCAAGGCCTTTTAATTATATATATAGATAAATACTTATGAATGCCATTAGTTATTGCTTAATTACGCTTTATTTTATAAACTGATTCATATAACATTTATATAAAAGTTATATTATTTAATAATAAATATTGGGAAATTTTGCTGTGCTAATTAACATTCAGAGGTTAGGTTGCTCCAACTATGCATAGATTCGATGCAAAATCGGTCACCAAATCTAAGTGTTTGGACCCCAAAATTTAAATAAATGTTAAATAAAACCTAAGAAAATTTTTGGATCTTTCCACTATCTAACCAATTTTGTCGATATAGAATTTATATATATGATGACGAATTCTAACCTGAGAACATACAAGGTCAAATACCGTATAGATCTGCATATAGTACTATTCATAAAAAAATTTCCAGAATTTTATAGTGCATGGTGTATTTTCGAATACACATGGTTGGCACATATAAAAAATTTTCCCAGCAAAAATTGTAAATATATGCCAAACTTGGAGATAATTTAGACATATAAATCTTTGTCTCAATATTGACAATATTTTGGTCATGTAACGGTAACAACAAATACTCCATCAAATTTGGAAGATCATTTAGTCATATAAATTTTTTCATTGAATCGAAAGATAATTTAGCCATATAAATCTTCGTAGTAGTTATCGTTATTCCCACAACATGACTCAATCAGGACAACTCAGGTATAACCAATAACTAATCTTTATGTAGTAATCCATTCCGAGTTTATGCGTTTTAAAAGTAATTATCAACAATCTCATTCAGCCCAAAAACATGATAGCGCGCAAAATTTAAGATTATGAACAGGTCGTAGTGTTTGTTATTTGAGTAATCACGAATTGGACGTATTTAAAATAATTCAATTCAAAAATGGATCAATATTTGTTATTTGATAATTAAATTCTAAAACTGTAATAATTATGTAAAAAAATGAAAAAAATACAGCGCTATAATTTACAAAATAGTAATGAAAAATTTTTACATTTAACAGAGTGCTAACACAAAGTTAATATCTATAATTTAATTCAGAGTTTGTGTGTTTAAAAAAAGGTGGAAAAAATCCAAACTGAAATTTCTCAATCAGGTTATAATCAAGAATGTCAGATTTTGATGAGTTTAGAATAGGCAATGAATTATTAATAACAGGTTTTTTTCTTCCATTCATTAATTATCAGGTTTTTTTTTTTACAAATTAAGTATACATACACAATTTAGTTTGATAGTTGTGGAAGTACTTTTTAAATAAGACTCTAACGTTACCCGGTCAAAGAAAACTTTCTATTAGAGTCAAAGTTAAGGTTTGGTATTTTTGGGGTTGACTTTATATTTCACCTGACCTTAAATTTTAATTGGTTTCATTTTCGTATGTACCATACAGCAAAATTTTTTAGGTTGGTGACGCTCGGGTAGTGTTATGGACAATAAGGTGGGTGTGCGGTTTGCCCTTGATTCAGATCTCTATGGCTAGCCTGGATGGACTCATAATTAAAAGCTTTTTTTCATCCAATAGAATTTCATTATATAATTTATAATTATTTGATTGAATCATGTGTAGAACGTTCTCAAGCATCACCACAAATTTTGTTTTCTAATGATCGAAATAGTGCACAAATATTTTGATGTAATTCTAACTATTTACATATTGAAAGAATAAGATTATGAGACTTTTTTGCAAATTTGTTTGGCTGAAAAGTTTTTTAACAATATGGTCGGCCCGAGAGTTTGGCATTAATAAATTTTGGTCCTATTCTTCCACAAGTTACTTTAGAGAATCATTGTTAAACCAAATTTGAAACAATTGTTAAAATTTTACTTGAAATTTTGTTCAACTAGTTTGACGTATTAATTAGTCAAAGTCATGATTACACCAATAACGGGAGTTATTAGTTATTGCTGCGTAGCATTCAATAACGGTATTATCTGATAACTTACGACGACTGGACCATCGGAATGAGAAGCTTCGGTTCCAATCAACTCACAGACAATCACTTCATGAACACTACATTTCACCGACAAGTTCATTTAACCGACAGTTTATTTCACCGAAGACAAAGTTAGGGTCAGGTTAGAATTAGAGTTAAAGTTAGTGCAATTTATAATAAAAAATACTTGTCGGTAAAATGAATAATACGAAGATCATTGTTTCGAAATCAGATGATTTTATGAATCACGTGTTTAATTTGTCATTAAGCTTCTTGTGGATATTTTATGTACAATCTTACGATGTCTTGTTAGATACAAGTAGAGATAGTTAAATCGCGGTTTCTCCAAAAAAATCCCACGCGTGATCCCGCGCGGGATTCATTAAACTACAAAAAATGCGCGATTCATCCTCGATTTTGATTGGCAAACGGCTGTGATCAACGAACTTCTGGTCCGCATTATACATAATTTGGTCGGAATTCAATTTTTTATGGTTTGGGCCTGTTGGCCTGTGCAATTGTAAAATTAGCCCAGGAACATATTTCACTTAGGATTGAAAATTACATTTTACAAACTTACAAACCATGCAATTTACATAATTTCAATAACATGTAAATTTCACACGTGTGATATATAATGCTAGCACTATGAAAATTTAGCTGTCGTTATTGAACTTCAATAGATATTGTATAAGTTTACTAAACAAATCGAAGCTCATATTATCAAAGCATCATATTGAATCATATGATAGAATGATCATGTTTCTTATAAATTACATGTAATTTTGATTTCAGAAACTTACACAACTTACATAAAATTACTAAAATTAAATAAAATTATGGTAATTTTCCCAATCCCTAATTTCATTTAATGGGCGGTCACGATTTCATTAGTAAAAATTCGAGTAATTTTGCCTATATATATGTTGCATCTGAAGTAGCGAATTATCTAAAGTAGCGCCTGGCTAAAATTAAGACCCTGAAATTAGATATTCATGCGTGCGTTAGGTTATAATTTTAGCCAGGGCGCTACTTTAGGTACATAAAATGGCTACTTTAAATAAATCGCTACTTCAGATGCGACATATATGTGAAATGGCATGCAAATAAATAACCAAATTCTAATTAGGAATTAGCTGAATATGTTAATCAGGCTAGATATTATATTAATGCTGGTCAGATATTATAGTAATGCTGGCCAGATAATCTTATTTTTGGATCATAATCTCGTGCGGGCTCTAAAAAAATCCTGCGCGTGCCCATCTCTAGTAACCAGTAATATATTTAAGGAGCCTTTGGTTGTAGAGGAGATTATCTTTCTTTTCGCTATCGCTCACCTTGGATTGAAGGCTGGCTTTATCGTCCCACCCATTTCTCGTTAACTTTTGAAATCAGAACACTTGTTTAGCAAAATATTGGTTAGTGTTGTTAGGCTCTGCGGCTGCTGCTATAAGAATAAGGGCATCATATTTGGCAATTAGGATCCTGCTGTTGTAAGCAGTGCAAGAACCTCATATTTGTTATATAGACTCTGTGGCTGTGTAGGCAGTACAAGGACCTTATGTTTGATTTTTAGCATTCGATATTAACCATCAGAATTTAAATACTTATTACGTACGTAATTGATCTTGGTAGCTGTGCTATATCGTTGCTGATTTTTAGGTTGCATTTGTTCTACTTATGTATTGTCGTCTAAGAATTCGGCGAGTATGTCACTAAACTAAGCCAACTCTCGTGTAACCTACGGCGGCTAAGTTGAAACAGGCGTGTTAGATTTGGCGAGTGGATTATCGTCCGTAGGTAAGTACTGGTCTCTTCTCTGTTGAGTCTTTCCTTCAACCTACTCTTAATCTAATTCTTATCTTCTTCTATTGTCTCAACCCAGGATTTCACTACGTCGAATCGGGGTTGGAACTCTTCTCGTTACGGTTTACTGGGCACGTGACTAGGCGAGCGATCAATTACGGGTTTAGTTTATTGTTGGGGTTAACGGGTATTGTTAGAGATGGGATTTACGATAATAACTGGTTGTATAAGGCAACACTTTCACTTGTACTATGGGTCGGCTAGTTAGTTTATATTTCGCAATTGTAATCACTGGCCTTTTGGCCTGGGCGAATAGCCTTTATTTATAATAAACGTTCTTTTCTATTTACATTATGAGATTTGTCTAATATATCAAACATATCTAATATATCGTATATGTTGAAATCGGGCGTTACGGCGAGTCAGTCGCTCCACAATCCAAAACTTCGTGTAACCTACGGTTGGCTTAATCGAAAAGAGGCGTTTAGATTTGGTCGGTGGTTTGGGTCCGTAGGTAAGTATTTCTTCTTTACTTGTCTTGCTTTTC